TCAAAAAACTTTGCTGCTTTTCAAGTAAATCTTCTGGTAAATGCTGAGATACTGTTGTTCTTCGACGATTTGAAAGACCATAACGATTCATAAAATAGTGCATTCATTTATTTGAAAATTTAAAGGAAGAAATGTTAGGATATTTTTCTTGATATTTATCAGTTTGCGTAAGTTCTTTGGCTTTCTTTGTCACTATATTTCTGGTAATTGGGAGACCTTGTTCTTTACATTCCAAAATCCAATTTGCTAGCTCATTTTCTAATTCCAAAAAAAATGCTTGTTTACCATTGTGTAATTTTAATAAATGAGATGCAGAGGCTTTAAGTTAGTCTTTTTTATTCCTTCAGTCACGAACTTGGTTTGATTGTAAATCAAAATGTCTTGCAATAACATTAATACTATTTGAACTATTTAAAAAATGCAAAACCATTAATTTTTCGCAAATTAACCAATTTCTCTTTTTTTTAAGAGTAAACCTAAAACGCTTGGCACTTTTATTTACTCTAGCCATTTTTAATAGTATAATAGTGAAACGCAATACAAAAAATGTGGAACGCGATATAAAAAATGGAATGCCAAAAAACTTTATATATTGATGATCTACATAACCTTTCAAGCCATTCCTTCTTACACTGATCAAACTATCTGGATATTTTGCTAATTTAAGGGTAGATTTGTAAAATATTTGTGGTGGTTTAGTCAGCACTCTACGGTACTTTAATATCTTCAATTCTGTTGTTTTAAGTATAATTTTAAAGGAGTTTAAATCATTAATTATATAATTATAAATTAAATAATTCTGCAATATAAACACTTACTTTGTTGATAATTTTATTGCTACTTCAAAATCCTCATGTGGTATCATGTTAATCAATTGAGATCTTTGTAATAGAAAAGGTATATACTAAATATGATTTTCAGGCTGAAATATGTTCAAATTTAACATTAACTCATTTTTATTTTTCCAGCAGTTTCCCCCTTTTCTATTGCAAAGATCCCAATTGTTTTTCTTTAACAATTTTCTCTTTATATTTGCCACTTACATAAAAAATCTTATCAACATAATCAAAATTGAATTCAAGATCTTTTTCGTCTTTTATAATAGGTATATATATTATAATAATAAAATTTTCACTTTATAAAATAAAAGAAATGTTAAAAAATTAATACATACAGATTCAAATAATACAACATTATTTTATATATCTAGTTTTATATAGATCATAAATAATTTTGAATTATTGGTTAGATATAATTAAAGTAGGAGGTTGGTTAAACGTATGAAGTTGATTTAAAGGGTTAATGGATTTGGGGTTTTCAGATAATGGGGTTTCAGTTGGTGAGTTTTTAGTTGATAGAATTTCAGTTGATATTGATTAGCTTTCAGTTGATTAGCTTTCCGTTGCTAGAATTTCTGATTCATAGTAAAAGATGCAATGAAGTATATGTTTCAATATTATTGCAAATTAATCGGTTATTAATAAACAGATTCATTACCAGATTAAATTTATTGGTTCCCAATTAGGATGTCCAGGATGGATTAGCAGAATAGTTCAAAATTCGCGTGATTTTATCACAAATATCACGCAAAAATCGTGATTATAATTCTGGCTAAAATCAACATAATTTCATAGAAAAAACCTAGAGGAATCTGTGGATGAAAATTTTTGATTCATGTGATCGACTAAATCATCTAATCAAATTTGAATATCGAATCATGACCAACAAATCCTGGACATCCTATTCCCGCTATCTTAAAGGGCGAGAAATTTATAAAAACATTATTTTTGTATAACTAATAGTATATTTCTGGTCTTTTACATTAATGTAAAATTTATAAGCATCTTGTTTTATATTAAAGTAAATATGTCTATAACCAAAAATATTGGATGTTAGTAAGAGCATTGTGAAAATTTTTTTTGATTTAAAAATATCAATCAATATGTTCTTTGACAATAGATATTTTATAAATCTGTTGGACTAGTTCTTTATTATCAATGTCATATAGATTACCGCTAATAAAAATGAAGGATAACAATATTTTCTAATAAATTTGCAATATTTCATGATATAAAAAAATGTAAACATAAAATATAATAAATAGGAGAACTGAAATATGAAACATAAAAACATATATGAATAAAGATTTTTTGACAATTATAAGAATGTTGTATAATCAATTTCTACTCCATAATCGGTAGACCTCTAATTCAAAAAACTTTTTTCAAAAAATACTCATAAGGTAAAATTTTATTATAGGACTGGATAATCGTATAGATGAATTATGATCAAAGAAAAGGAGGGTATGAAAAAGGTCAAAGGACTGATTTATGATTTTATTCTTACACATAATCCTGACATTAAATGAAAACTTTATATCAGTACATCAGTAGAATCAGAAAGGTTCATGAGTTTATCAAAAAAAATAGGAATTGATAAAATCAAATATATCAAAACACATATTGCAGAATTATCTAATAGTCAAATTCAAACTATTGTTGATTATTTTTCCAAGAATCCAAATAATAAATTACCAGATGATCAGGAAAACTCTATTATCGATTCTGAAGAAGAGATTTTAGATAATCAGACTAATGCATTGAAGGCAGTTTCAGCTGAGATAAGCAAATCAACCTTACTTATTCTTGTATTTTATGACTTTAATTCTTCAGGTCCTGTTAATACGAATAATGGCAACTCTAATTCAATCAATGATGACTTTGATTCTGATGATTTTGAAGAGGAGATACTGGATGATTCAGATAATGATGGATATAATGGATATGCTGGATATAATGAATATGGTGAATGTGATAGAGGTTATTATTATCATGATGGAAGATATAAAAGAAAAACCTTTCCAATAATAAGTTCTATTATCTTACTGTTAATTGTCTAGATGAATTTTAAGGTGGATCACATACTCACATAGACTAAATTATTGTATATATTTGTTTCTTTTTTTTCAAACTATGTGAGTGACTTAGATACTAGTAATACGTCACTGATCTATATTCCTTTACAGTCGCATATGCAGTAATATGTCACCAGCATTTACAGTAGAGAATCTGCCAAAAGCAATATTTTTGCATTATTATACTTATGAACTTTCAGCAGAATTCTGATATGTTCTATCTTACTCATTACGCAGTTTTGAATTACTAATAAAAAACACATTCTGATTTACATGCGGATTGTAAGACAGAGCATCGTTAAAAAATAATTCAAAAATGGAAATAGAGCTAATTAAAATCTATGATTTGCAGATCCTCAGATAAATGGTAACTTTTTATTATTCTACTGACATTAGCGCATTTAAATTACGTGTATGGCTAATCATACATTAATCTGTTTTTGAATAGGAATTAGTGATACAAACCCTCCAACATATGCAATTCATTATCTACAGATCTCGATTTATGATGAGCAAATATTCTGTTTTATATTTCTTTTTTGTGATTACAATTGAAATAGGGGGTGGGCAATAGTATTCATTCTACAAGAAATAAATGGTAAATTTTATTATTATTAGACGGACTCAAGGCTATTATAATTGCTTTAGATAGAAAAAATTTGTTAATATTATTTCCGTGATTTGGGGTTGATCACTTTGATCTTTCTCGATTCAGATCTACCTTTAGCCAAGAGGGTTAAGACGATTGACTCCAACTTTCATATGAATGATGTTTTTTATTAGGCTCAATAATTGACATTTTTTTTAGCGTATAACAGGTTTGTCATGGAAAAGGATGAAATTGAAAAATTGAACTATAAATACGTGGCTTTTATTAATCATGGATAATCCTTATAGAGATATGAAAGACATTAAGCTCATTTGTCATTTCATTCGAGATTTTGAAGAAATTTTTGGATGTTTCAGTCTCGCTGAGAAATTTGATATTAAAATTAACTCTAGCGATTACGTTGATTCTCTTAAAAATAAAATCTATGAAGTCATTAAGCAGAAAAATAATATTTTCTCCAATATTAAGGCTGATGACTTAATGCTATGGAAGGTACAAATTTCTAATGATGATGATAATGGTTTTTTAAGCCTTGAATTACAAGAAGGTAAAGAGAGATATGCAAAGAAACTCAGAAAAATTATTAGCAATTATTGAAATGGTGAGAAACTTCCAAAAGTAGGATATATTCATATTATTGTCGATTTGCCACTGATGAGAGCAAATCAACAAATGGTAAATTTGGCAATTAATTGAGGTAGGTCTAGTTAATTTTAGCAATGTATTTCTTTATTAAGACATGATTATAATTTTAACACGCTCTATGTATAAAGAAATGACCAAAATCACAGCGTCATTAGAAGTTTAGATACTTGTGGCTTTTTCAAGATAGAAATAGAAAAAAAATGAACATATTGTTGATCTTAAGGAGATCATTATAAAAAATATTATAAGTCCTTTTCAGATAATGATTTTTATGATGTTAGGTTATGGAAAGTGGAAGTATCCTTTGAAATAAAGCAATATTTGATAATATCAAAAATAATAAAGAGGCCAGTGCCATTAGAATAATGTTAAACGGAGAGGAGCAATATAGATCGGAAAAGATTGAAGATACGTTTGAAAACCCACCTAAAAACTATTACAATTTTGTCATTCAAGGTATTTGTGATCTAAAAGACAATGCCATTATATTTATGATAGCATATTAATATTTTCTTTTTTGATTGATAACAATTTAGGTTATTGCTACAAATGTAAGAGAGGCCTTGATAGATCATTTAAATTACATGAAATTTCTGATTTTCATATAAACAACGTAAACAATGAGAATGCAGGTGAAAATGGACCTGAATATGAAAACGAGGATGAAGGAGATTCCTCACCAACTGAATCTGAATTTGTGGGAAATTTAAAAAATATTCACAAATACATTAATATGGATGAATCTGGTTATAATAATGTAACTGGTAAATATTTATAGAACTAAAGTCCTGAACTTTGTATTTATTTTGCATGGTAGCTCACGTTATATCTGATATTATAATAAAAAACTTTCCGCATATGTAACACTCGCAGTATATGCATTACGCGTAGTAATCACGTCATATATGTATATTTTTAAAGGCAGGGTCACAATACGATCGATCTATTAATAAAGCCGGCCAAGAAAAAGATGTTATATTCATCATATGAAGCGCCTTATGAGTTATGGCGCTCGAATGTTCTGGCATATATGTTCATCATGCAACTTTGAAAAAACTGCCCTTTGAATTTATATATTATACATGCCTATCATGATGATTAAATTTGTAAATTAGATCTCAGAATCGATGTATTACCCTGTTGACGTTAGCCCATCCAATATTAGCGTATACACTATTATTCCGATTTTTTTATCCTTTTTTGCGAATACAATAGAATAGGGGTAGCGCATTTTGAGTAATTACTACTATGATGAAGTGATTGTTTAAAGCATATTCCAAAAGCCCTGTCGATTTTAGACCTATTGTAAATTATATAAAAGGTGTTTGCCCCAGTTAGTGAATCTTTTTATCCGCCTTGTGCAAATGTAAGCAAAATCCTTTTTTCCTCCTAGATTCGGAAAAAAGAAACAGATAATAACCATATATTACTCTGCAACTCTAAGTAAAAGATAATTTTTTTCTTTCGCAGATCAAAGATCAAGGAAGAGCGAAAACTTCTAATAAAATTTCAAACCTACCACTATCAACATTATCGAAATCAACAATCAACGAACTCGTATATTCTGCAAAGTAATAATAGAGTAGGTTGGTTTATTGTTTGGGTTAGCTTCTTGAAACATGTCATCACAGTGCTAATCGATTTTTCCAACTCTACAGATGTCCATGAAAATTTTGGACATATTGCTCTTCTTGTTATATATCGGCATTTTGATATTTGCCGAGAAAATCTTTGACCATCACAATAGACGCAGTGAAATTACTCACATGAATTTCGTCACATGCAACGGCACAATCAAAAAATTTATCTTATATAAGCATCTTCACGTGCCAAATTCTAAAAATTTTGCGTAGTATCGTACCAGCGATAACGCAGAAAAAATTGAGCAATAAATTTCTTGTGTATGAGGTGGAATGGAATTATGTGAGAATGAATCGTGAAAATCGGTATTGTATTATTTTTTTTTTATCTTAGTTGCTAATACTTTCGGAATTTTGTTACGTAATATTATAAATTATTGCTGCGATTTTAAGCCAAATTGGGTTTTATATCAGAATCGAGAATATCTAATCATCTACAAGAAGTTCTACTCATTGCAACATATTTTTGGCCTGGAGCGAACATATTTTCTTTCAATATTTATAGTTGTGAGTGGTAAAATAATGACTTAAGTTTTGTGGACTGTCAAGGAGAACGCGTTCTGTAATGGGAAATTGGTACCTTGAGGCTTATTTCGAAATTCAGTGTTTTTTTTAACATTTATTTTAGTGATATTTCCATTGTTAAGAAATAACTTTACATATCATTGTTTAAATATCGTTGTAAAGGATTATAACTCAATTATTATTACTTTTTTTTTTTTAAAAAAAGAACCCTTTTATAATCATTTTAGTTATAACGAATTATAGATTCCATGTTCTATTAATTTGTTGTTTAGGAACATTATCTTAGATTCGAACATGGCAGATTTTATTTTTTTTTATTTTTTATGGTTTAAGAATTAATATATATATATATATGTACACTCCCTACCAAAAAGTATTAGACCACTTAAAAATTTTTTAAAAAAATACAATTTTTATTTATTAACGTTTTTTATCAAACTCTAATAAATAAATATAATATCTTTAATCGATAATGAATACTTTTCAACGTTTTATGTATATGTTTTAATTAAAAATAATTTAGTTGGATATATTGCATTTTTTAAGTATTGTTTTTAATTAAATTAAGTAAAAGTTCAAAATTGTTTTTTGAAAAAAAAATATATAAACGTAAAATTTAAAATCAAATTTATTTAAAGTATAAATTTTGTATAACATTTCAGGAAAAAAAAAATTTCAAAAACATAATCTATTTCGTAAACTAGTATATGGGGGAAATTTTTTCATTAAAAACTTGATAAAAAATTAAAAAAAACATTAATTATCTAATTGATTTTTAAGTTTACCTGTGTAAAATTTTATTTAAAATATACACTAATATCTAGTTGAAAAGCCATGTGACTTTAAAACAGCTTTTACCCGACCTTCCATACTGCTAACCAGTTTTTGAAAAATACTACTAGAAATTTTGCGACCATGATTTTTGTAGAAATTCTTCTAATTCAGCTATGTTTTTGGGAATTTTTTCACGTGATCGAATATTATGTTCAAGTTCATTCCAGACATGCTCTATAGGATTGAGGTCGGGGCTTTGCCCTGGCCATGGTAAAGGAGTTATCTCATTTTCTTCAATGAAAGCTCGTGTCTGCCTGCTAGTGTGGATTGGTACGTTATCTTGCTGAAACAAATACTCACCATGTTCTTCCTCGAATTCTTCCAAAAATGGTATTAAATGATAGCCAAGAATCTCCTCTATGTATCTTTTACTATTAATTCAGCCATCAATTCTCATTAAAGGGCCCATTCCATACCATGAAAAGCACCTCCATATCATTACCCCACCCTACCATGCTTTACTGTTGGAACCATGCAATTAACATCATATTTCTCCCTGGAAAGACGCCAAATACGAACTTTTCCATCATTTTCAAATAGCGTGAACCTAGATTCATCGCTTCAGATAACTTTTTTCCAATCATTAATCGTTCAAAGACGTCTTTCTCGAGACCATTTTATTCGAAAACGCCTGTTTGACTCACTAATGTATGGTTTTCGAAGTGCAACTCGGCTATGATACCCCATTTCATAAAGTGTATTTCATATAGTATTCTTACACACTTTATTTCCGGCTGAATTTACAAAAGTTTCCAATAATTTTTGTGCTGGCTCACGCCTTTCCTTGTTAATTATAAGCTTTAGATGTCGCTTATCACGTTCAGTCAATTTTTTAGGTTGTCCACTTCTAGGAACATTGTCAAGAAGACCTGTTTTATTATACTTCTTAATTATATGATGGATAGCCATCTTTGAGTGGCCTGTTTTTTGAGATATAGCTCTCTCAGATTCGCCTGCTTTATGGAGACCAATAACTATCCCACGTTGAATAATCGAGCTCTTTCTTTTTGGGCATATCAAAGAATGTGTAAAGAAAAAAAGTGTGGGAAAGAATAAAAAAGAGATGGTGATAATCATTTTTAATAATCGTATAGTAATAAATAATTCTTAAGTCGCACAAATTTTGTGTAATCACTATAGATCTGCAGATCACGGGGGTGGTCTAATACTTTTTGGTAGGGAGTGTATATATATATATATATTCGCACCATCATATAATGTATATGTGTTTTACCTGAACAAAGTCGCGGGATGATTATGATGGATGCGCAAGCATTACACTTGACGGTATTTCAAAAGGTATATTTCTTATACTAGGAAATTGAGAGTGAAAGTATGAAAATTGTTAAACCTGATTCAGTTGGGTGAATTTACAAGTAATTTTAACAATTCGAAATGCTATGAGAAATATTCCAGGATAAAAGATGGAGAAAAGATTAAAACACATTAATAAACCTTATTTTTGGGATATTGTAGTAATTTCATAGAAGTCACATTTTAATGCACTTTTATTAATGGCGAAATATGGAACAATCCCGCATTTATGCTAATATATCTCGCAGAAAACAAAGCGAAGGGATATATGCCACATACCTTATAATTCCTTTACTTTGATCATGTTTGAGAAACGTTCATTTACATATGATTCACCAAAATAATACTTTTAGAGAATTGATATTAGTTGAGGATGAATCATGTTTAATTTGACAACGTAATTTTTTTTATACATGAAGAATATGTAAGTGGAAAAACTGTTGAAAGAAAACATTGAAGTAACAATTAATTTTCATGGTATAATAATAAATATTATCTAGATGGTTAAAATTCAAGCTCGCAATTCAAATTGGGCAAAACTGAAATATTGCTTAGAATCAATTCTACATATAACAAAGTCAATCAAACATTCGAACCAACAAAAAATTTAACTGATCAATATAAAATTAAACTTATCTTTATATGTATAAAACCCATGATAAAATATTTTTTATTGTGTTCATATATGCAAAAGTTATTATTAATCTTAAAAACATAAATGTATTTAGTTGCGAAAAATAATGCTAACATGTGAAATAATTATATGCCTAATTTTATTAACAAAATTATTTTTAATAAACGAATCAATAAGTAACAACAATAATAATATTATTTAATTGATTTTTTTTTAAAGTAAATATTCATTAAATAAAAAAAGGGTATTTAACTAATTCTAATGTTAAGGTGAAAGTATCTTTTCTTTAAGATAATAACTTTGCAAATTTTGAAATTGTCTTCTTCATTTTATCATTTTAAAACTTTATCCAAAAGTATGTTTACAAATATATATATATATATATATATATATATATATTTTAAAAAAAAACTTTAATTAATGACACTATTTTAATATTCTTGCTATTCTACTGGAAAAAAATCATCTTTTTCTTCGTCATACTTCCACCTTTTCAATTCGGTATCTATAAATTGTGATAAAATTTCAAAGATTACAATTAAAAGAAGCCGAATTAATTAATTATAAATTTGTAATTATCCTTGAAAAAAATTTTATCCTGCCTATATTGGTAATTACCGTATGCTTTAGGCTGTAAGCAATATATTGTATGTAATGGAACTTCCATATTCGGAACCTTTTCCTTTTCAACGTCCAAAAAATATGCCAATAGAATCCTGAGCACGACCTGATGCGTGACGATTAATATATTATCGGTCATTCTTTCTAGCTCGACAATTAACGGATTTATTCTGTGAATAACATCTAAATAAGATTCACCACCCATTCCTGGGTAACGGTAATAAAGTTTGTTCTTTCTACGTTCACTGTATTCTTCCGGGTACTTAATTTCTATCTCGGAATGAGACATTTCTTCACAGAGGCCCTATGTTTAAATAAAAATAAGATTAAAATAAATGGTAAAATCACTAATAATTAACTTCCTTGTTTAATTTCTTTTTTAAACATTTTTTTTTAAGAAATGATTCAGAGCAAAACCGACAAACGAAATTGGATAAAGAAAGAAATTTGATATGTTATTTAACATTTACCGCATATATTTCGTTAAGGAATCTGATATGCTAATAATAAAAATACAAAATTTTAATTTGGTAAATAAGATTTCAATATATTACAGCATTGATTTTTGATAATCTTATACCATAATATCAAATTCTCTTTGATCAAAATTTTCTACTGTCTCAATCGTTCTCTTCAGCATACTCGTCCAAACCAAGAAATTTTTTACTTGAGGTACTGATGTTGGAAGCGATGATGTTGACGCTGAACGATATTCATCCATCTGTTTTTGTCGAAAAAGCACTTTTTGCTTAAAAATGAAACGAGAAAGACATTCACCAAATTTACGACCTTTTTCGGACAACTAAAATTGGCACGCAATTTATTATAATGTAATCAGTATAACATGATATCAAAAATTATATATATTTTTTAATTTTTCTTACCGGTGAATCACCACCTATAAATTTAAAAATTAAAGGTTATACGGTTAGAAAATACAATATAGTATCTATTTAAAGTTTATATAATAATTACCTATTTTTCCTATAGCATTATCTGTACTTTCGCCATGTCTTGAAAGCCAGATTTGTCGATCTAAAATTATAATTTAAATAACTTAGATAACTCAATATAATAAAATCTTTTCCTCTAATAAATTTAAAAATTATTATTACCGGAAAGATTAAAATTCATTAAATAGAATATACATTGACCACTTAAGTAACCTTGTATATTATGTGCAATAATCTAAAAATTTTAAATTATAGTTGACATATACATTAAATTCCCTTAATAGTGACAAACTAAAATATTTATTTATTTATTTATTTATTTTTTCCTTACCTTTTTACCCACATTAATTAATTTACAATATTGCATATCAGCCTTTTCCTCCTCTTCACTAATAGTTTCATAAACCTTTTCATAATTAGAGACACGTTTACGAAAATCTGCCAATGCTTTTTCAGGATCCATTTTTCTATAATCAGGTCCTGAGAGTTTGAGACGCATGTTTTTTTCCAAAACCTTGAATAAATTCCAAAAAAAAAAAAATTAGCGTCAACGATGGTATAGAAATTAAAAATACTTTATACGGATAAAGTCTGTTTTGGAGATTTTATATTATCGAAACTTCAATTTCCATAAAATATTGTCATCATGATTAAAAATCAAATAATATACCTCATTGTCGTTACATATCGATTCAATAAAAAGTACTTTGAAAGTAGTTTCACGCTGGCAACGTTCCAATATTTTCCTTCTATATATTGATTGAACAAATAAATCAGTATAATAATGATAAAAATTAATTCAAATAAATATTCACCTTCTTTCCACTGTTGAGTTTGTGGCATCTTATTTATGATTAAAAAGATCTCTTAATAAAAAAAAAAGCATAAATTAAGATAAATGAATGATAAAATGTACTTAAATACCATGAATTCCAATTCTGCCACCCTTATTTAGCCAATCAATCAACTCATCCAAACAATCCATTGCAAGCTGCTCTCTAACTTTCTTTGCGGATTTATTAGCTGGATCAAAAAATGAATGTGAATGAGAACCATTTTTGATCAACTGAGCAGTGTTACGACGTAAGTTTCCAACATTAAAAATCTATTTATATAAAATTGAATCAATTGATTTATTTTTTACATAAAAATATGACCATTTCCACGAATGACGCGATACCTTGGTGTCATACTGCAACCATGACAAATAACGTTTAAGTTTCTTTACAATGTATGATTTGCCACGCGCAGGCAATCCAGCTGAGAAATAAAATTAATTCTTAATTAACACGGAAACAAAAAAGGATAATAATGGGATTAAATGGTACTAACTCATTACTACAACCAACTTTGATCCGACACCACATTTTAATGGTTGTTCTATATTAGATTAAAGTGTTAAGCGCGTTTTTATTTCTTATCTTTTAATAAAAACATTACCTTGCGTTAACTTTGATGTCACGATGCCTTTGTAGATAAAAACAAAACGTTAAAAGTCAGAAGAATTGGTTCCGGGAATAATTATGAAAGGTTTTCAAACCTGGCAAGTCCAGAGAATATTTACGGTTTCTAAATAAAGGACGTTGAAAAGAAACCGACAAAGGTTCAATTTCATCAGAATCTTCAACATCACTATCGTTAGAAAGATAACGTCTAGAATTTCTAGGATTTGACATCCTTATCTCGCGATTTGATAAGTTTTACCTGCACCTTTTATAGATTTAGGATTTTCAATGTGTTACCATGGCAAATATCTGTCAAATTTTTTACGTGAATGATTTCATGTGTGAATGATGTCATTACTTATGATTTTATGCGTAGTTTCATAACGCTCTACTCACTTTAAACCAACCCGTAAGTATCGAACGACTTTTATGATATGTTCTGGTTTTGTAAAATCACACCATTCATAATACATATTCATTGACTACACATATCTTTCTGTGTTCCCATCATGGTTCCAATATTGGTCTTTGTCTTGTTGATTGATTACCTTCGTCTTTGTTGTCTTTGATATGAATTCATTAATTGGTCTCACTGGTCTGCTCTTTACCTAACCCGAGATATTAAAAGTATTTTATTTTACTGCGCCAAATGAAACCAAATTTATTTGATAATTGAAGCGGTTACTGCGGCATCGTCTCCTTTTTTTATGGGTATTTGATTTGTATTAACAATTAAATTACCTAAATTAAGGGTTTAAATGGCAGGAGCATTTCTATTAAATAGAACATGCCCGCTTTTACCAGCATTGTTCATAGATCCTCCAGTTAACGTATTTGGTGTAACACTACCGTCACTTGGTTAATTGTGGCATGAGACTAAACCTGTAACTTCGCCCAAGACGGTACATACAATCTCTGTTTATTTTTTTTAAAAAAGAGATTGCTTATTTTAGCGACAAAGAAAACAAATAGAAAGAGGTTTTTTTTTAAAAAAAAAAAAAATTCTTTTCCTAAAATGTCTACAGTAGAAACAAAATATCGTCAACTTAAAGTTCCAGAACTTAAAGACTTACTATTGAAAAAAGGTCTTCCGGTTTCTGGTAAAAAGGAAGAATTGGTTGCTAGACTTTTGGCAGCTGAAGATAAGAAAATTGTAGAACCAATAAACCAAACTCCTAAAAGTAATACGATGGCAACCAGCAGCTCTACTCGTAAAAGTAGTATTGACAATATCATTAATAAAGTTTCGATGGAAACGACTTCCGAAGTAAAGAACGATGATACTGATTTGTTTGATAAAGATCTTAATTTAATATCAGCGGATATTGCGTCTGGAATTGATAATGACTTTTGGGATAATATAACTACGGAGTGAGTTGATATTTCATTATTATTAATCCTTTCGCCGTTTTATTTTAATTTTCAAGTTTATATATTAATATTTACAATTCTATATATTCTTTACCCTTTCTTTAGCATTAACATACCTAAAGATAGCGAATTCGATTCTCTCATTTCTCCATTTTCACCTTCTTCAGTAACTTCAATCAAAGATTTATCTCCCGAAAAATCAAAAACAGAGATGCCTGAGTCAATTAAAGGGTCTAATAATGTTACTAACGTTGAAGCAAAAAATTCGGCTGAAACAATGAAGAGTGATGCTAAAGCTTCTAAAGCAGAATCATCTTCATCGATTTCTGATAATATTGTAAAACCATCAGGCTTTACATGTAAAAAGATCGTTTTTGATAATTCTCCAACGATTACATCTCCCCAACTTCCAAGTAAAGATGCTGATTTGGCTACAGAGTTGGAAAGACGAAAGAAACGTGCTGAACGGTTTGGGGTTGAATTGTCTGATTCTGATAAAAAACTACAGAGAGCTGCTCGATTTGGTACGACCGTTACTAATCCTTTGGATGCTCCTCTTACAGGTATTTATAACAATCCTAAATCTGTTTTTCATATATTACCATTTAATGAAGTATTTTTAAAAAATAAATTTTGATTATCGACTTTAATATTAGCACCGAGATTGCCAAACAGAAAGCTAGTAAGTTTTTTTTTCATATATTCTAATATGATCATGGTACTTAATGAAATTCATTAATGAAAACATCATTTATTAGTCAATTGTTGAGAATGAAGAGAAATTAAAAAAGCGTGCGGAAAGATTTGGACTTGATAAATCTGAATCATCGACAAATACTACAAATACTTTAAGTGAGGAAGAAAAGAAAAGAAAGAGAGCAGAGAGATTTGGTTTAGTAAGTTAACAAAAAAAAGTTTATTATTGTTTCCAATTTGCTTTCACGAAGCCATAATATTCAATCCTTAAATATTTTTGTTTTAAGAATGCTTCACCAAATTCTGTATCTAATTCAATTAATGAAGAAGATAAAAAGAAAAGAAGAGCAGAACGTTTATCTATTAATGTAAATAAATTTAAATCCCGACGGCTTTTTTCTTTTGTTATTGGATTAATTATTTATCCATTCTCTTTTTTTTTCTTTTAAAAAAAAACAAAAAAGACAAGCAGTGAACCAACGAATAAAAAAGTGAAGACCTAATAATAAAAGGTTTCGATCGATAGGATGCTTGACATAAATCGGGTAACGTTCAATTGTTTTTTCAGAGAATATATTAACTCCTTTTTCCCTTTATACAATATATTTGCAGGTTTAACCGACTTTAAAATTGCAATGTATTTTTTATCGATTAGTTTTAATTGCAGTTTTTCTCCCCTTCATTTTAAATGATATATTTTGTCATTGTCCAATTGTATTGGCTAGATGGTGCAAAATATTTTAATTTACCTGGTTTGTCTATATTGGGGTTACAAAATTAAAATACCGCTTTTAATATACAAAAACATCAATTTTTTTTCTTTTGTGATTAGACCCATTTTTGCTAATGACTCACTTTTCCTCGAATAAATTAAAAAAATTTCATATTCCTAAACCAAAATGTAATTAATTATACAAGTAACCAATTTTTAATTTTAATTGATAATTATTGAAATTTATGACAATAATCCGGTAATCAAATGTTCGAAATCAATTCTACAGAACTAAACTTATACCGTCTAACTTGATTCCTTGTTCTTATTATTATTTAAGTTATAATTTTTCATAGTCCAATTTAGATTCTAATTTCTTTGCGTCTGCAACCTTTCTAACTGCTTTCATAAAATCTTCTTGAAGAACATAGTCTCGTTCTTCGCGAATTGCAAACATACCTTAAAGAAAAAGGAACAATTTAATTTTAAATCTTAAAAAAAGTTTTTAAAATATAGAGATATAAATATGTTAAACAAACCCGCTTCCGTGCAAACGTTACGTAAATCTGCTCCATTAAACCCATCAGATAATTTAACAATAGCTTCATAATCTAAAAAATTTGTTAAATGTTGATTTATTCTGTTGTTATTATTGAATTACAATATTTGAAACGACAAAAGACTGAAAAATTATTTACCAATATCGCCATGTTTTGTAATAGGTGCTGAATGAATTTTCAAGATTTCAAGACGACCTTGTTCATTTGGTAATGGAATCTCTATTTTTCGATCCAATCTTCCAGGTCGCAACAAAGCCGGGTCCAAAGTGTCAGGTCGATTTGTGGCCATAATTAATTTGGTTTGTCCTAGATAGTCAAATCCGTCCATTTGATTGAGAAGCTTAAAAGTTCAGACAATTTATCAGCAAGGAATTGAAAGTCACAATATAATGTTTCCAATATAAAAATAATCATTACCTCCATTAAAGTTCTTTGAATCTCTCGATCAGCACTTGTACCTTCGGAAAAACGTCTTCCTCCAATTGCATCAATTTCGTCCATGAAAATAATGCAAGGTTCGTGATCCTTGGCGTATCCGAACATTTCCCTAATTAATCGTGCACTCTCCCCAATATATTTGTCTACAATAGCACTTGAGACAACTTTCAAGAAATTCGTTTCAAGTGTACTAGCGACAGCACGTGCAAGAAGAGTTTTGCCTGTACCTGGAGGCCCGTACAAGAGAACTCCCTTTGGTGGTTTAATACCAACACGAATGAAAAGTTCTGGGTTCATCAGAGGTAACTCTATAACCTATGTCATTCATAAACATAGGTTAGCTAATATTTTCTTGGGATAATTAATATTGTTACTAACTTTAAAATCAAGAATACCTCTCGAAGTTCACGGATTTGCTCACCAAGTCCACCGATTCCAGCAAAGTTCACCTTACCCGGATCTTCTAAACTCATATTATATACCAATGGATCGACTTCTCTTGGTAACATTCGCATAATTGTTAAAGTTGTCATATCTAAAGCAACTCTCGTGCCTTGTTTAAGTTTTTCTTTATTTACTTTGTTGCGACACCCTACCACATAACGTGGACCAGAAGATGCTTTCACAATAACTATACATATGTAATGTAAACATATATATAAAGATATGTATTGATTCAAAATAAAAGAATGTTATAGATAGTAATGTTGAAATGACATACATCGTTCTTCATCTAATTGTTTTAATACTTCGCCTATGATCTGACCAACACTTTGTAAAGCTTTGATATCTTCTTCTGTTTTGTCATATTGCTTTTCAAGATCGCGAAGACCAAGACGAACTGTATATATTATATATATTTAAATATATATAAAAAGAAGGAAATATTTCATAAGTTTGAATTGTATTATTTTTTTTTTTTTTTAAAAAAAAAATGGATATGTATTATCTATTCTTTAGTAAATCTACACGATTTGTATTTTCAACCGTTAAATAAAATCTCTGTCAAAGTAAACTCGGTGCTATTTTGAATCGTTTTTTTATATATAACTCGAATTCTACGGCTTAAATAACATTCTGTAATGTTGATTGATTCGCTCACATTCTTTAACTTTTGCATCTATTTCGCGATGCTCTAACAATTTCTTTCGGTAATCTTGTAAAGCTTTCTTGCGTCTGTCTGGATCTAAAGAGGAAGAGCTCGTTGCCATTTTCGACTATAGAAAAATCGCGAGAATGTTTTCACAATTCTGATCAAGCTTTTCGGAGAATTTTTTTAACGAAAATGACCCTGAAAAAATTTAAGTTTTTGATGTGTCACTGCTGACGCATTTATTTGAACATCTATTGGCCATTTATCAACAGGTAAAGTTGCTCTGTAATGTAGATCCAACGTGATAAAAAAATTTTTTAACTACATAGCACATTTCACAAACATTGAAAAATTAGCTTTAAATATAAAAACGTTCCTTTTAATTAGAAATAAATTTCTTTCGGTTTAATAATTTGGTTATAAAAATATATGCCCTTTCCACGGCTTTCTTGCTCACCCTTTTCCTAGTTCCTTCGAATATCAATTCATTCGTATCTTTGTGGCAGTCAGAGGAACAAAACACCCAAGTATCACCCACATTTTTCACCTGACATCATGGGTAATTTAAGTTCTTCCTTGGACGAACATCCAACTCTGTACATAAGGAATTCCAATCGATGTGAGTGTTATAGTCACCTGTTATGTTTATTCATACTTTTTAGTATTATAAAATGAATGCGCGACTGGCTTTTATTTATTTTGTTTAAAATAAGTTATCCAACATAATTGTTTCTTTTTGTTCACCTTTGCATTTGATTCAACTTCGACCCTCATGAAGTTCATATTACAGAAATCGTGGTATCAAATTCTGCCCATGACCCATACATAACGTTTCCAATCGAATCAAATGGTATTACCGCCACCTCAAACACCACAGATCTTTTGGAATTTATTCAGGACCCTAACGCTCAATCAATCATTCCAAATAAATTTCTACTTAAACTGATAAAAGACAAAAAACTAGAATTAAAATTTAAATTCAATATTGGTGAAACTGATGGAAATAAAGCTGATGTGAAAGGTCTCACGTTTATCAATGTTGCCAGTGAAAGAGAGTTGGCAAGAATATTAACGGTCGAGTTCAATGATGATCCTAATGTAAGCTAATATAATTTATAGTAAATATTTGAATGATAAGCTAAGTGCATATTAATAACTCTTATATGTCAAAGAGCAGAAATGAAAGGGTATAAATAGTTATACTAATGCTTATAATAACAAATATCATCAAAACGACTTAATCAACTTGAAGTGAAATTCGGATGATATTTGTAAATTTTCTTATTATATTTTGTTATATGATTTTACTTATAAGACCTTGAAACTTTTTTTCCCTAAAAAAAAAAAGCTCCATAAACATCCAAACGTTACACTTGTTGGAAATTACGAGTCAGATGGAATAAAAACATCCGAAAATGAATGGACATGGAAATGGTCTCCTCCACACAATATGGATGAGGTTCATCGGGGTTGGAGAAACCATTGTTGTGTAAGTTTTTTATTGATTTTACCATAATGAATTAACAGTTAATGATTAAATTTAAATTTAATTTTCTTTAGTTTGCCGAATATGATGCAAAAGATAATACATTTACTTTGTTGGCATCTTTCACATTTTGGGTCGCAGGTATGTTGAGATTGTGTCAAGAAATTTGTTTTCGTTTTTTTATCCGTCTATTAATGAATTCATTTATAGATACACCGCGAAATCACTATCATCGAGCTTCAAGAAGTTCGGGATCGGTTGATGGTGTAACATTTTTTCCGATAGCGTCATCTCTGTTGCCACCATCTCAAAATAATACACTATGGTCTCTCGGTCTTCCACGTAGTATTCGTCCTTCAAGTCCAGATAATGTATATCTTCCAGTACCGGGTCTGTCTTCACACACTTCAGGAACGGCATCATCCGTGTCCAGTGGAGGTCGTCGATCTTCAGATGACTTAATGTTTCAGCATGAACCTGAAGACGGTCCTTTATTTCGTGCAACTTTGACTTCATTCGAAAAGAAAACAGGTTCATTAAAACATCATATTAAACGCATTTTAAAGACAGCAACTGCTTCTCACGACGTTCTTATGGAATGTCATGAAACTGAGGAAGAGTTTTTATCGACTATAAAAGCTGCATCTGTTGCACATCCTCAAGCATTTCAACCTATTTTAGATAATTATTTTGAAGACGCATCAAAAAAGGTTGCAGCTTTTAGAGAAAGTCTTGCGAATCAGATGTCTGTACTTTTAATAGAACCTCTCCGTAAGCTATATGAGAATGACATTAAAGTCGCTGAAAGCAAAAAAAAAGATTTTGAGGAAGAATCTCGTGATTATTACCAGTTTCTTTCTAAGTATTTGTCTTTAACAAAAGAAAAGAAAAAGTTAGAATCAGATACTAAATATCAAAGCAAGCGGAAGAATTTTGAGTTGAAAAGATTCGATTATTATGCGTACATGCAAGACTTACATGGAGGACGTAAAGATCAAGAAATTCTTTATCATTTAACGAATTTTGCTGAAAAACAGTTTGCATTCTTTCAACAGTCTGCTGGTGGTATACTGAGTTTAAAGCCAGGATTGGATAAATTGGCTGTAGATGTTGCTGAGGCAACAAAAGAGATACATTTAATGAGAAAAGAAAGAGAAGAGAGACGTAGGGCGCTCGAAACCCGTGCTACGACAGTAAATCCATTTACTAGTGAGAGTTTTAATGAGGTAGATTCAAATGGTGGCAATGGAAGCAATACAAGTGACAATATGAGTGATGTTGCGGAAAACCAAACTGCTAGCCCAGTTGGTTCTCCTAACGTGTCTCAAAATCGGTTCAAAGGAATTCGTGATTTAGAACAGCATGACTCCGAAACTGCATCAGTCGCGGGTAGAAAGAAGGAGGGATTTTTGTTTGCTACATCACGAGCAACTCAGCATGGAACTGTTGACTCTATCTCAAAGACAAGCTGGCATAAGTAAGAATTAATAATTAAATATTTTTGTATTATTATAATTTTATTATTTTTTTTTTAAAAAAAAAAAATATTTCATTTAATCATTAGGTACTGGTGCGTTTTGGCAGGTGGTCAACTTTGTGAATATAGTAATTGGAAGAAACAATTAGAAGCGCATAATGATCCGATAAATTTACGTTTTGCAGCAGTAAGGGAGGCAAGAGGAATTGAACGACGATTTTGTTTTGAGATTATTACACCTCAATATAGACGCATATATCAGGCAACTTCAGCCGAAGATATGTCTTCTTGGATAAATGTTATTTCTAATGCAATTGAAAGTCTTCTTAATGGTACAAGTAGTTGTCGCAATTTGGATCAAGTTATGGCTCAAGATTCAAATGGTGCCGGAGCTGGGGAGTTATTTAAGAAACCAATACAAAGAAGAGGAACGTTACCCAGCTTGACAGATAAACGAAAAGTTGATATGAAAAAGGGCCTTGTGTCATCTGGTTCCGAAGAGATTACATCGAACAATCAATCGGATTGCCAACAAGAAATTAACGAAAGCGAAAAATCCGCTCGAGTTCTTGAAAGTATTAAAGGCGCAGATCCATCTAATGCAAGTTGTGCAGATTGTGGTGCTCGTAAAACAGAATGGTGTTCTATTAATTTGGGAATTGTATTATGTATAGGTAAATATAATTTTATATAATGTTATTGATCTAAGATATTTTAATTATTTCAATACCTATAAAAGTTAAATTATAAACTTCTATACTTTATAGAGTGCTCAGGAATTCACCGTAGTTTGGGTACACATATATCTAAAATAAGATCACTTACCTTAGATACAACTTCATATACGCCTGACCTCGTTAATTTAATTAAATCTATTGGCAATGCTCGATCTAATGCAATTTGGGAAGCAACACTTGAGCAGCGGCAAATACAGCAGAAAATCGGTACACTATCAGTGCCACTAAAATTTGAGGCACCTTCTGTATCACTGAAAAATGATGATTCTTTCACTGATGCAGATTGGGAAGATCTGATTAATTTGATTTCACCATCTAATCATGGTTTATCACTATCCCCATCCCCATCCCCATCCCTTTCACCAACCCCTTCACCGACACCCTCTCCCATACCATCAGCACCAACTGTAAAAAAACACAAAGGTATAACAAAGCCAAATAGTACCGATTCGCGTGACATAAAGAAAAAATTTATTACCGCTAAATATGTTGATAGGGTCTTCGTTGATCTTTCACTTACTGATGAGGATAAAACTGCTACGGATATTCTTTTTGAAGCAGTAAAGACTAATGATATACCTTTGGCGATGCAAGCTATCGCATTAAAGGCTGATGTAAATTCAGCTCGTAGGTTTGAAGTGGCGGATGATCATGGATTGAAAACTCCATTGTTATTAGCATTGCTCCATATTGATTCTACATTGGTGACCAATGAAGGAGGAAAGATATTATTTCCAATGGCAGAATTATTATTACAAAATGGAGCATACATTGAAAAGGTCTTATTTGACAATTTAGATGATATGCTTGGTGCAGCATCAACGCCAATAACTCGAAGCTCAGCAAAAAGCGTTGGAGCTTGGGCAACTGAAGTTGTTAATGATATGAAAAAATCAGGAAAATCTGCTTTTGATGTAGTTCAAGCTAGTGGTGATATCGCGGCCATAAGATACCTTACACCAAAAGTCCTTGCAAGAGGTGCTGCATCAACACTTAATAGTGGAACTTCAATTACAACAACAAGTACAGGTGGTGTGGTTGGTGGTTCCATTATAGAAAAAAAACCTTCATCAAATATTGGCCGATCTATATCAATATCAGTTAAAAATGTTCTCTCATGACGGGTTCATGATGAACAATATATATATATATATATATTTGATTGTAAATCTTTTCTTTTATAATTATTTAAATTAATTCATTATTTCCAATTTATATATATTTTTGATAATTATTATTTGTATGAACTTTATATATATATATATTTTTTTATATTTATTATAATTATTTATTGCATAATATTCTTATTAAGATTTAAAATATTATTATTTTAAAATGTACTTATATCAAAATTTTTTATTTACTTAACTTTGTTGATAGAATGTATTGTTTTTAACTTGGGAATTTATTATATCAATCTATTATTATTATATAGTTTACCTTTTTTGTGTATATTTTATATATTTATATATATATTAAGAATTTTTTTTTTTTTAAAAAAAAAAATAATTTAATTTAATTTGTTTTAATTGTATTTATATGAATTAAAAAATACCTTCAAAAAAAATATTTTTTTATATAATTATAAAAATTAATAATAAATATGTTAATAATAAAAAAAATATTTTTTTTAATTAATTGTATTATATAAAAATAAAATAATAACAAAAATCAGTTATTATAAATGTAATAATATTTTAATAATAATAATTAAAAATGATTAAAAACTAATATTTTTTCAAAATATTAAAAATTTATATAATTATTAAATTACATAATATGAGTTTAAATAAAATCATATATTTTATATTAAAATTTAAGAATTATAGCAAATTTTTTATAATAAAAGAGCTTTTAAAGGTTTGGTTGGTAAAATTCTATAGCAATTTTTATATTAAAGATAATAAATCTAAGCAAAACAAAATAATTATAATCCAAAATAATTTAGTTTATTAAATTACATTTTTTTTATATTAGTTTAAGATATCTATTTATAAATCTTAATAAAATTCTGAAAATTTTATAAAATTACTTTAACTATTTCTTAGCTAATAAAATATAAAAAGTCACTAAAAGTTTTTAAATACTATTTTTGATATCATATTTTTAATCTTACCAATTATAATTAAATGATGTTTTATAAATAGAAAGAGAAAATTAAAAAAAAATTTTTTTTATAAATTAATATTAAATTTAAACCTATTTTACTAAAAAAATCATATTTAACATATAAAGTAAAATTTTAATTTTTTTTAGTTTCTTTCTTTTCTATTGACAAGCTTTTATTATTATTCAACTATTGATTAGGTGAATCAAAACACATAATCAATTAAGTAGCAGCAAGATATAACTTAATTTTTATGATAAATTGGAAGAAACTTTACTTATCTTAGAATTTCAGTTAACGTTAACATACTTTCATAATTAAATTTCTGAATTAGTAAATATGAAAACTTCTAATTTATCACGTATGACTTATCATTTTCTTTAATATTAAAAATATCTTAATAATGTTATAATTATATATGAAGTTAAAATGGATTATTTCAGATATCTAAAATAATAGAAATAGTTGAAATCATTTTTTTTGATACTTTTATTAAACACACACTAATAGTAAAGTTTAGCTGCATATCCTTTAACAAAATGATATGACTTACGATATATAATTACCACTATAATTCCTTTAGTATATTGCAATCCAGTGTGAATTTATGTTAAACCTAAGTGAATAAGTGTCATTATAAAGTAAACTGCCAAACCACTAAATCTTATAGTAGAGTACTTTAGTACCTGTCATCATTCATATTCATCACAACTACTGGAAAGAGAGTCAAAAATAATCTAAGATGATAGCTTACATTATAGTTGTCTCACTATATGGGTTGTGAGCTAGGAAAATGAGGTTCTGGGACATTTTAACCAAAGTTAAAATTTTTACTTTATATTAAT